GCCCATTGCTTTGCCCAGAACTAGGCGAGCCCAGGGAAGCACGTGTGTGTGTGTGTGTGTGTGTGTGTTTCAGTTGCTGCTAATCAGAAAGTGTTTACCCTTTCAAAGCTGGGATTGTCCTGGAATTAGAATATCATCCTAAGGAATCTTAAAGGAAAGGAAAGTTGCAGAGCCCCCAGCAGAGCCCGTGGTTTTAACTGTTCTTGCTTGGGACTGTTGGGACATGAATTGACAACCTCAGGGAGGTAAGATTCATAGTTCATAAGGCTCGTCCAGGGGCTGCCGCAAAGGAAGACCGTTTGTTCCTAACAATATAGGAATGGAAATCGTATTCAAATAATTAGTTTTCAGTGACACTAATTTACACATGATAGACTCTGACACACTTTAATATCAGGTGTTTTCATGCTTAATCTCTGTGGTTAAAGCAGCAAGTAGAACTGCTCTGTGCCATAAACCCATGGATTATAGCCAGCCAAGAAAAGGATTTAAAAAAAAAATTGTAGCAAAAAAGAGCTAGCCAGTTTGGTATATTTATACAAAACCTTTGGGGAAAGCATGACATGCTCCTTTCGTTAGACATGTTCAGTGGGAGTGCCTGCATTTTCCACAGAAAGGAAAAGTCCTGGCTCAGGCTTCGTTTTATATTCCTCCTGTATACACCGCAGCGGTCCAGGGCTGATTTTTGCTCCCCGTGGCACAGCGAGGAGGAGCATCCAGAAGCAAAGGATTTATAGGGGAAGCAGAAACCTGCATCACAGATTATGGATCTACCACTTTGGGGAGACAGAAACTTCAAGGTTTTCAAGGATTCTTTTTTAGAAACAGTATTACTATTAGAATGACAGCAGGCGTGGGTCCCCCGAGAGGAGGGGGAGGAGGAGGAGGAGGAGGGTGGGGCACTTGGACTACGACTGGCTCGGCCGATTCCTTGCCAGGGCTCTCCCTGGCAGTGGCAGCTGCATCAGCAGCACCTACCTGGCCCTCCGGGGTCCCCCAGCCTGCCCTGATATTTGTCCCTGGGGAGGGCAAGGGAAGGAAGCGTTTGTGAGGTCGTCGGTCAGTGCTGGCAAACCTCACAGCCGCCTCACAATGCATCTCCTCTCCCTCCCCTTGACTGAGCTGTCCTGTTTTGGGTGATCCCCCCAATGAAGGAGTCAGGAAAAGGAGGAGGGATGCCCTAATCCTACCCCCCCCTATGGCCCCCTCACTCTGGACTCCCCCAGCCTCCCGCATGAGGATGACCCAGGCTGGTTGCTGGGATTTGTGACATCCTGCTTTGCGACTGCATTGCTTAGCCATCCCAATTGCTGCCATAAGGCAAGGACTCCTCGTGTGCCCTCCTCCCCTTGCTTACTCCCATGACAGCTGCCATCCCTCCTCCTTCCTCCTCCTCCCAAGGCTGCTCCCTCTGCCTTCACCCACTGAAGGCCAGGATCCCTTCCTCTTGCTCGCCCGGCCCTCAGCCCGGCTCCTGGAGGCGGCCAGGGCAGAGTAGTTTTCAGGAAGCAGCCCTCCCCGCCCCTCCCCGCC